ACATGAGGAATAAATTTCGTTCCGAAAATTTGCAGGGCAAGCTACAACATAATAGGGAAATGGTCGTGCATTATTTGCAAACCCTTTGAAAAATGATCAGCCCTTCACCTGCATCAAAAGTTCAAATCACGTGCCTTCCGCGTGACGAATTCGTGTAGTAGTCTAATCTCTTCTATATAAACCCGTTCAAACCCTCGCCTTTCACTGCACACATTCTCATACACGAATCAATCTCACTGAAACCTTGAAACAATTTCTTGCCTCAGTTTCTTAATTAGCTTCTTCAAACCATGGATTCTCACCAAAACCTGCCCGTGCTGGTTTCGAAAATCGGAATTGTAGGAGCTGGAGTTAGCGGCATTGCTGCTGCAAAACAGCTTTCACGCCATAACCCTATCGTGTTCGAGGCCTCGGACTCCATTGGAGGGGTCTGGAGGCACTGCTCCTATAGCTCCACCAGGCTTCAGTCACAACGACGTGATTATGAGTTCACTGATTTTCCATGGCCTGGTAGAGACACCTCGGAATTCCCTACCCATTTGGAGATACTCAACTACTTGCAATCTTATGCTGAACACTTTGATGTGCTCAAGAACATAAGGTTCAACTCTAGGGTGGTGGAAATCCGGTTTGTTGGTGGCGGCACCGGCGACCGTGATAACTCCGATAACGCAGCGGTAACCGGTGGGGACTACGAAAGCCTGCTTCCTGGTCGGCCTGTGTGGGAAGTTGCTGTTCAAACTAATGGATCTGACACCATTCAGGTGCTTAATTAGCTTCTTCACTCTTCACCATTTGCTGTCTCAGATAAGATATATTCTTTTTGATACGCTGATATGAGATATTCTGATATAATATAGACGCACTTTAATGTTACCAACTAAACCAATCTTCCACTATATTTCACGTCTTGCTGGCTTGAAACTAGGGTTTCGATTCGAGATATATGCTTCTTATTCGTGGTATGAAATATCATCCAAAATATTTAAGTTGTGGCATGAAAAATTTCGACACGTACGTACATACGTATGAGATCATTATAAGACTAATCATGGATAGAGTACTTCGTTTTTCAGTGGTACGGTTTCGAGTTTATAGTGTTGTGCAATGGAAAATATGGAGACATCGCAAAGATTCCAAGTTTTCCGAGAAACAAGGGACCAGAGATATTCGAGGGAAAGCTTCTTCACACACTTGATTACTGCAAACTTGACCGCGAAGCTGCTACTCAACTTCTCAGGGGAAAGAAAGTTGCAGTCGTCGGTTTCAAAAAGTCTGCCATTGATTTAGCCCTCGAATGTGCAGAGGCTAACCAAGGTAAATATATGAAACTTCACTTTTCTTTTCCCCTTTGAACTTTCATACAGTAAATTTTTGGATTTGAAACACGTGATATAATATTGAAGATCGTGAATTCTAATTCCTCCAAGCCAGTCCTGGTCTTTACTTTCCTATATTCTATGTTGAAAGGCACATGCATTTTCACCATGATAAGCACCCGAGAGGGACCCATTTCTTTGACGATTGTCAAAGCAGTTGTGTGTTTTTGTGCTTGTGACACGTACGATTTTTATTTCCTTTTTGCACCCTCTTTTCGAACTTTTTCCTATTACAGCTTGCGACAAAAATTGCTCTCATATTATTTCAAGTTGCGTGGCATAGGACACCCAAATTAATATGTGCTCGTCGCTTTCGTTTCGTTTTTATTAAATTTGTTAACACGGTTTAGTTCCCGCGTATGCATATAATTTTTATTGTTGTAGCTTTTAGATAAATCGTATGCAGTAGCTACTTAATTAAATAGATACAATAGAAAAGGAAACAAATGTGCAAGCATTTTATACATCGTATAGGAAATACAAATGGCATATCTACAGAATTGTTCATTTAAAATGAATATGATTTACTTAATTAAATATCACTGATGTACGGTTTTTCGGGCTTTTGGCTGTTAATGATGTACAAATTTTTAAAGATTAGTAAAGTCAAATGATTTCTGTATTTTCCAAGTTACAATTTGCATGGTTTGATTGCATACTTGAAGGTGTGTTGACTTGTTGACTCCGAAATCTTGCTCTCTTGCATTTATTTGGTCTTATATCGGACGTGTCTACTTCACATATATGATTTAGAATTCCAAAAATCAATTTTGACTGGAAATTATATAAGCCATATATGTAATTAATTTATGAAAAAGGGTTTGAAAGGGAGATTCCAATTTTCAACATCAACCATCGAAATAAGACAATATGAAAATATGATTGTTGGAAAAAATTAGATTTAAATTTTAATTAATATTAATTTTTTTGGTAAGCAATTAATATTAATATTTTTATATATAGATGAAAAATTATTTTCATCATTCTTTTTTCGATGGGCTATTTTCATCATACTCCCATGCTAATTCCTTGGCAATCTTTTCGCCACGAACACTTATTTATTAATTATTTTCAAGAAGCTTCACTGGAATTTCAAAAACCATATGGCTTTGACTAATAAAGTTTCCTCAGTTTTTTTTTTTGTTTTTTGGGCCAACAAGTTTCCTCAATTTATATGCTTTTGTGTGTGTGTGTGTGTGTTATAACGATTTCTTTTCTTCTAACAAAAGGAAAGCACGTCATGAAATATCCAAGCAAATGACTTCGCTTTTGGTTGATGCTTTCGAAAAATGTCAACAATGTCAGCGCAATAAGTCACTCATGTTGAATTAACTACGGTTAAAGATTTAAAGCCGGTTTAATTTCTGTTCTCATTTTGTTGTTTTTAAAAACTATTTTTTTAATTTAGTTTTTAAAATTATTTCTAAAACGAAACAAAATAAAAATCTGTTTAATTATGTAAATTAAAAAACAGTTTTTGAATTAAAAAATGGATTGATAATAATGATTATAGATAGTTAATGATAGTGATTAATAATAATAAAAATTTGTTAAGATAACTATAATTTTTAATAATAAAATTTAATGAATTTTAAAAATAAGAAAAATAAAATGAAAACAACTTAAAGCTGTTTTTATTTTTTAAAAAAAAACAAAAGAGGAAAACAATTTTAAAAATAACTAAATAAAAAACACTTATCCAAACAAATTTTAAATTTTTTTGTTTTTAAAAATAAAAAACAAACAAATCCTTAATTTACACATACTGTTTTCAGATTTTGTCTTTTCAAGGACAAAATATAGCTTAGTAATATCTCTTATGCCAACCAAAGATGCGCCACACACAAAAATAAAAGGTGACGTAAGGTTTGCATTCGAATTTCCAAATATTTTTAATTTCACGGGAACACTTGAATAAGTAGCATCACTGCTCATTTGAATATTGTTCCTACTAAAAAAACCAACTGATTTTCTTTTTTCAAAATCCTAACCAGGGATTAAAAAAATAAAAGGCGTCTAAAATTTGTTACAACATCTGAACAATTGCTATCATTGTTTTGTTGTTCATAACAAGAGTTTTCTGCTGACTTGTCCGGAATCAGGACCTGAAGGGCAGCCCTGCACAATGGTGGTAAGGACTCTGCATTGGATGGTTCCTCATTATTGGATTTGGGGATTGCCATTTTTCTTGTTCTATTCTACAAGAGCTTCTCAGTTCCTCCATGAAAGACCTAACCAAGGCTTCCTCAAAACCCTTCTCTGTCTCCTCTTATCTCCGATGGTAATTTAACTTTATTCAGTTTCACAGTAACACGAGGATGATTCTATAGAGCGCTTTATTTGTCCATGTTTGTATTCTCATCACTGGAAGTATTTAAAGATTCCCACCATGATTCTAAGAGTTCCACCACTATAGAATTGATGCTCTCTATAGAATTACCTGGCACATGACACAGATACAGCTCTATATGACTGTTGAAGCTAATGATTCATTGTTACTCATGACGAACTTGAACAGAGGCGTGGGATCTCAAAATTCATTGAATCCTACCTACTCTGGAAGCTTCCTCTGGAGAAGTATGGACTGAAACCAGAACACCCATTTGAGGAGGACTATGCATCATGTCAGATGGCTATAATGCCAGACAATTTCTTCTCTGAAGCTGACAAGGGTATGATCGTCTTTAAAAAAGCATCCACCAAGTGGTGGTTCTGGAATGGAGGAATTGAATTCGAAGACAACACTAAAGTGGAGGCTGATGTGGTGATTCTTGCTACTGGCTTTGATGGGAAGAAGAAGATTAAGACCATTTTACCAGAGCCTTTCCGAAGCCTCTTGGAGTACCCTTCTGGAATTATGCCACTATATAGGTAACATGGGTTGTTTATGCCCCTCTTGAACCCAGTACTTCAAAATCTGGGTCACACGTGTTTAACTTTAACATCTACTTGATACTCCTATCAGACAGTAGGCAACGATTTCAACTGCATTTTGATATCCAGGTCAATACAAGCTCTAGAATTTACAGAACAATAATAACTGAGAACTAATGTTGAATCAATCTCTTTATGGCAGGGGAACCATTCACCCATTGATTCCAAACATGGCTTTTGTGGGTTACGTTGAAAGTGTTGCAAACCTTCACTCATCTGAGCTACGTTCCATGTGGCTCTCTCAACTGGTTGATGATAAGTTCAAGCTCCCAAGTATTGAGAAGATGCTTTCACAAACACTTCAGGAGATGGAGGTGATGAAAAGGTCTACCAGATTCTACAAAAGGCACTGCATTTCAACTTATAGCATCAAGCACAGTGATGATATATGTGAAGACATGGGTTGGAATTCTTGGAGGAAGAAGAGCTGGATATCAGAAGTACTCGGCCCTTATAGCGGCGAAGACTACAAGAAGGAGGATTGAATAAATTATATTTGGGTATGCGTTGACAGTACTAGGATTATAAGAAAAATAATGTCTTATGCGGTGTCATAAGGGGTAGGAAAAACGTTGCTCAGCCACTCTAGATCATGTTTCAGGAATCTAATGTAGTTACAAAATCTTGAACTTGTATCAATGTATGATGAACCTTGGAATTTCAAATATCAATATCTACCAAGAAATATACTATAAGTGGACTTACTTTCTCATCTCAAGCAAAAATCACGATAATACAAATAGTATCTTTTCAGCTACCTATGAACAAACCGTCCAGAATATCAGCTCTAGCTATCATAGTTACATGGCGATTACATTATAGTTTGCAGCTTCATGCTTGGCTAACTCCGAGAAAGGCTGAGCAAGACAAGAACAAAAAAACTGGAAGTCTCAAATGCTCTGAATTAGTTTCAAAGTCTCATCAATGTGCTTTTCTGGTTGGAACTGATTGTTGTAGACGAGCTGAACCACCCCGTTTTTGTCAAGAACGTAGGTTTCTCTCCCAGGCAATGCTCCAAAGAAATCACCCTTCACTCCCCACTCTTTCCTCACCTTGTTACCCTCGTCACTCAATAAAGTAAATGGAAGTCTGTACTTCTTAGCAAATGCCTATATATTACACACCACACATTCAGCATAAAATTCGATTGGGTTGGGTGCAAACTAAATGTACTGAAATTTTTGAATTTTACCTTGTGAGAGGAAGGATCATCACCACTAATCCCAACAACCTCTGCTCCTGCTTTTTTAAATTTCTCATAAGAATCCCTGAAAGCACAAGCCTGCAATCAAAGGAAGTTCAGCGGCTAAACTGAATTAGCAGAACAATATTGTGAAGCACCACGAGTGTATGAATCGAAGTTCTTCATTTTCCAGCAACAAGGAGTTTTCCCCTTTCCTTTATTCAAGGATGAACAACAACGATGTTTTAGGAAGAGCATAAATTGATACGATCTTGAGCACTGAAACATATTAGTGGACAGTTTGTTCTTCCTGCATTGCTATTATTTTACATACAACAAGAATAAATAGTCAAAGTTGAAAGCATTACACCGTTTTTCTAACAATTGCATACTAATTTTGTTGGACTTGAAAGGAGGAAGAAGGATTTTTCTATATCAAGAGGAAATTTTCGGAACTCCCTGTTTTACATTTTCCCCCCCTTTTGGGTATTCATATTTTACTCTTGTTATTACCATTGTTTTGGTCTTAAATGACTTATTTTCATTCGCCAAGTGCGCAAGTATGAACAGACATTCATGTATGGCAATACATGAATGATCATATTCCACACATTAAGCTTATAGAGTACGTCACATTACTAATTCCAACGAATTACCTAATTTCCTGGAACAACTATGATTGCAAGATCGTCGTCAATTGCAATGCTCAGAAGAAGAAAAAGAAAAACACACATTTGTACTTCCCATTCTAAATTGGCATCTCCAGCGCACAGACAAGACCGAAGACAAGCTACATTGGATGGAGGAAGAAACAACATAAAAAAACCTGAACGTTTACCTGTTTGGTACAGCCAGGGGTCTCATCAGCTGGGTAGAAATAAACAACAACGGGCTTTCCTTTGAATTTGCTGAGGCTTACAGATTTCCCATCCTGATCCTTCAGGGTGAATTGAGGTGGCTTTGAACCTTTAGTCACCTGTCAACGAATAAAAACGCACAAACAAAACAAGTGGACTTGTGGGTTCTCATCAATTACCAGAAACGACATCAAAAGAGGCAGGCATACTAATGAAAAAAATGTACCTTAGCAAAAACAGAACCTCTCCTCGGTGAAAAAGTAGTAGCAGGAGGGATAGACAGAGAGGAGGAATGAGATAACTTGAGGCCACAAAACTGAGAATTGGAGGATCTGGGGAGACAAGGGAGGTTTTGAGAAGAGGGGTGTGTGGGTATTTCAGAATGGAGCAAGGTGGGAAGAGAGTGATTGGGAACAGAGAGGGAAGCCATGTGTGGGATTGACAGTGAAGGAGAAGGTTATGTCGTTAAGAATGGGAGAGTGGGATAAGAATGGAGGCGATGAGATTGGCTTTCTGGCGTGGACGATTGCTGGCCCCATCCTCTATTTTGATTCTGCATTTACCTCAGGCCTCAGCTAACTCCACAACTAAGCCCAGTATTTAAGATTCCACCAAGGTTTGTAATAAAATTTGTAAATAACATTTAAATTCGATTTTCAACAAATTCTCACTCCATGCGATGAAGGGAAGAGGGAATGAGAAATGAATTGCACATGCATTACCATCCATCAGTACTTTTGCATCTAAGAGTGATATTTTGAATGAGAATTTAGAAATAGATTAGCTGTTTGATTTACGTTGATTCTCGATTAGAGTTCATTAAGAAATAACAAATAAGCTGTGAAAAGTTACATAGATAATCTAATACATGTATTATTTGATTATTAATAACCGAGGCTAATCATATAATATAAATGTTCTGTTATTTATATTTGGTGTATTGTTAAAATAAAAAAATTTAATAAAAATCGGTTTTTAGTTGGACATAAAATTTGATTTATTTCTTTTTACATAGTTTGATTTATTTTTATATTATAAAAAATTATCTTGAAAGATATTCTCTCAATCTCTATATATGAAAAAAATTTCAAAATTTTTTTTATTTTTAAATATAAAAAAATTGTTAACATATTTTTTAATGAATGATTTATTATATTTTTATTAAATTAAAAAAATATTCTTATTAACTTATTTTAAAAAATTATTTATTTTTTATTTATAATAATTAAGAATAAAATTAAAATATTATTATATTTTTAATTAAATAATTAATTTTTATTAATTTGTGTGATTGGATTAAAAACTTTTCATGGACAAGGACGGGGGGAGTATGTTTTTTGGGCCTGCGATTTGACGAGGGTTTGTTATTTGTTGGTAGATTGACAAATTAGTCTGAGAATCTTCACCAAAACCCTCCAAATCGAATTGGACGCATGGAAGGTTTTCGGAATGTTGTTCGTAGAAGTTCGGGCGAGAGGTCTTCCTCGGTGCCCTCCCGCGTGGAAAGCTTAAATGCGAATGGCGGAGGAGCAGGAGAGAGTGTTGCTGTTTCTTCTGCTGCATCGCCTTCTTCCCTTTCTTTGGCTACGAGGCCTGCCAGGTTTGCGCTAACCTTTCTTTCTGGTTCTCAGCTTACCTTGTCTTGCATTTTACCCTTTTTGATCTTTCATACGATGGCAGTTTAGAGTTGGATATTGCTGATTGTTAATAATTAGGATATGTGAACTTCTTTTGCTTAAGGATGATATGGATTGTAGATGAACATTGGGAAAATATGTCATTTTTATTCTGATACTGAAAGTGAAATGATAATATTACCCAACCGACACATGGAGGAGGTGAGAATTAACTGATGGTTTATCAGACGTTGGGAGAGAGCAGTGGGACAAATATTTGGAAACTAATAAATTAGTGATTGAGTCGAAAGGAATCCTTTCTCCTCATTTAAACTTGAAAGTCTGGGTAGTACATTACCTTCAAAGATATAATTTTTTTACATGTTCTTTATTGTAAAGGATCTAGTTTTATTCCCTGATGGCTATCGATAAAAAGTGGATATATGCTAGTGTTGATCTTAGCATGATATGTTATTCTATATGTTCCTTTTTTTGTTGGTCTAATTATGCATATTAGTAATCTGAAGTATCTTGTGGTAACTACAGTGGTTGTTCTCACTTGTCTAGTTTTACTTCTTTTTCAAGGCATAAAAGAGCTCTTTAGCTGTGCATTATAACCTTGAAGTTGTTCCTTTGAATTCTGAAGTGATGCTTCATCAGTTATATTGGGTTCCTCTGTGTTCTATGCCGTTTGATTAGCATCTATTTTCTTTTAAGTTGGCAAAGATGTAAGGAAAGCCCTTAAATATAGGTGTTACGTGCATTGATGGATTTTAGGTCAGTGTTTGTCTTCTAAGTTTGAGATTGTTTTATATTATTTGGCAGTCGAAGTGTGTCTTGGTTGACGTGCTCGAAACTTTGTGCAATTTGCTTTGTTGCTGGAGTAGTTTTTGGTTACACACTAAAGCGACGTGTCAGGCGGTTGGCTTCCAAACTTCTCAAGTACCTGAAAGAATAGTTTGCTTCATTACGGATGCTAATTCAGTAAGACTTCAATTTCATTTAAATTTTAGCTGAAGAAACATCATTTACACCTCATCATTAGATGGCATTACTTGTTCTTCCTGATGACACCTCATGGATTCTGAGACGAGTACGGCATTGGCATTTACCTATGCAACCACTTGCTAAACGAGAAAGTTGTTTTGGCACAACTTGTCTTTTTATGTTATATTAGCATCACATCTCAACTATATGTGCTGTAGTGTTCTATTGTTTTGTACTTGTAATGGGCCAATATATTTTCAGTTTTCTATTGAATGTGAGACATGATATCTGATCAATGATCTATATGTTCATCATTCTGTGCTTTTTCTACTACTGCCCAAGATCCTTTATAACCTTCAAATAATTCGTAAAAATGTCCACTTTGAGTGGTATATTTGGATGGCAAACGGTATATAAAGAAATTGAGTCTCGATTCCCAAATTCAGCCACTATTTTGCAGACACTCTTCTAATGTCAAGTTTTATTAACATCGTTTTATATCCAGATTCAATGCATATTTGACCAAGTAGAAGAGATGGCTACTGTGTTGGGGGCACGATATCTTGCTTTTAGACTCTTGGGTTGTCCAAGGAGTATAGAAAATCAATTCATTCGCCTTAGTTATTAGGCTTAAACTTCTTATTCCCACATAGGCCTCTGTAAAGTATACTGAATGTATTTTCTCTTGAAGCAGATTACTTTTTTCAGTCAGAATTGTGGATGCTCTATGTATGGCCACTCATTAAACGATATTTTGCGTTGTGCCAGCAATTTAAAATGGTATTTTCGTTGTATTGAAAATATGTACATATCTTCCTGTTCGTTAGATTTTGTATTCTGCAGAATATGTGTAGCAATACTATAATTACACGTCCCTGTCCTACTAATGACCTAAATGTTTATTAATTTTCTTTTTGAGCTATAAATCAATAACTACAGAAGAATAAACAATGGTAGAAGGTAGAATTTAAATATCAATTTGTCATGTCAGAAGTACTCCTTATGAAAATCGAAGCGTGTAGTTGTCTTGTGGCTCAGCTCATGTGACAGCTTCTTTAGTTCCTTTGCCAACGCTGGCATCCCGCAGTAGAATACCCCTGGAAATTGCATGCACCATTTTCTTGTCAAACTTTTACTTTTAACTAAACAGTTTATGTTCCATGGCCCCCCAGACAGACCTGAACTTTTTTCCAGTCTGCCCATGCTTCAAATGAGAGAGACAGTTGTTAATATTTTAAATTTTGTTAATTAGTAATATAATATTTGTATTTTGAATGCAACCTAATTTGCTTCTCCATTAGCCACTATTAATAGTCTGTGTAAACCCACTCTTTTCCTTTAAAACAAATTAACTAATATTTAGGATTCTAGGTATAGTGACTGTGTTTAGCTTGAGCCGAAAGAGTTATAGTCCAATCTCCTTCAGGTGAAGCCTAGGCCCCATATGGCCCATATGGCTCATCTATCACTGAAGATGAGGGGAGAAATAGAGGAGAAATTGAATCTCCATCATGATAAATGACGCTGCAATTTGTGTCGAGGAATTTACCTACGGTAGAATATGGATGTCTAGAGGCTATCTTGGTGAAAACATCTTTCCAATTAGGCCTAGCAAAGTGGGTTCTTACCTGCAAGGGGAAAAAAGTTGTTTACTCGTGATAGTTAAAGTTTTCTGTCACAAACCAGAAGTTCTGGCTGCAGAGGATCCTACTCGAGTGCCTGATAGGATGTCAACACCATGTTTGGCATGGCTGAGAGCTTGGACCATTGTGATTAAGGTTGACCTTGCATCCCCTTCCTCATAGACACTTGTGAGATAGTTGTGTAGCTCAATTTGATCCTGAATCATAGTGCATTTTGGAAAAGACAAGGATTATAGTCAATAATCCGCTTTGCGACAGAAAACTTGTATTTTTTTCTGTGTCAGTAATGGTGATAGTAGGATAGCTCTTATTCTTAGGGTGGAGAAAGATCAAGAAATAACATTTATTACTTTGAGATCTAATTCTGCAACTTCATCCATTACTCCTTTAAACCATTCAAAGGATCCAGCTTCCCTGGTAACCCAGTAGAAATAGGCATTCGTGGTCCTGTGTGTTCTCTTATTTCCACCTGACATGAAATTTGAAGATGTAAAACTATTGTAGCTCTCATCTGATGTGGCTGTTTCTGTGTTTGACTCCTACGTTGAGCTTATCAAAATCAATTTCCGATAGGATTAAGAATAAAAGAATATACCAACGGTATGAGAAGTCTTTGGTTAATAATTTTACCATTTGTTCTTCAAATATTCTTGTGTCATTAAGAAGATCTTTGAGGATGCTGATGAAAGGGGTTGCTCCGATTCCCAATCCTATGAGAAGCAGTACATCATAACTCTGGTAATCTTGTGCAGGAGCTCCATAGGGACCATCGACAAGCAGTCTCGGCTGTCTGCGAGTTAAAAATATATTTTCGATAATCCATAATTTCAGTCATAGGCTACTAATTTTTAATCTAATCGATAATTACCCTTTTGGATCCATTGTCACTAGGTGACCAAATTTGGCTTGTCCATTTGATGAAGGTAATGTATCATCGTCAGTAAATAACAGCTTCAATTCTTGCGTCCAGTCTCCCACTGTACGAATATGAACGCTCAGGTAGTCCTCTCCTGGTGCTGAGGTGATGGAGAACGGGTGCCTAAAAAGTAAAGATTAATGGGTTTTTTTGACGTCTAGGTTTATAATAACATTGATGACAATTAAGTAATACTTCATAGGGTTAAGGATCAAAAATATTTTTAAAGTGTGCATAAAGGTTCACAAATAACTGTAAACTCAACTTAGAGTTAATTTTATCCCTTGGCTCTAGAAAATTCATTGATTGTGCCTCTAACATTAACTTGTGGCCTTTTCTGTTTTATGGGTCCCATGTTTAAAATTTTCTAACATTTTTTATTATAAAATATTATATAGTGGGTCTCACTTTTTAAATATATTTTATAATATAAAACTCTCTCTTTCTCGTTGCTCCATACATTTGCACCCTCTCACCCCACTCTTTCCCTCTCCTTCATTCTCTCTCTCCCTAAGTCCATACACAATGCAGCCTATCTACATGCAAAGGAAGCTTCAGAGAAAGGTTGAAGGTGAAGGCATTGCCAATGACCATCCCAGCCTTTGCTCTCTCCCCCATTCTACCTTGAGAAGAAAGTGCTTCAAAAATAACCCACGCTAGTTTTGGCTCAACGCCGGCATTGATGGCAACTACCCTCTTTCCGCCACCATTATTCATCTAAAAAATGAAATGAATGGTCTTGTAGGTTCTCGATGATGGCTCACCTCAGAATAGGTTCTCAGGATGAGAGGAAGTAAAAGATGAAGGCTCTATTTTATAGGAACTAGAGCTAGATGCTAACGGGGTCATCACTAGTGACAAAAGAAGATTGAAAATACACATTGAAAAGACGAGATGGATGGATAGAGATTGAGTCAGGGGAGCTTGTTTTGTTTTATGATTGTGAAACAAAGCATGCTTCATCGCCTTCATCCCTCAAGCTTGCTTTGTTTTACTTTCACATAATAGCAAAAAAATAACCAACCTTTTGCATGCACATGCATTCATAGACAATGAACGAGACGGAGGAGAGAGAGTGATAAGGAGGAGACAGAGAGAGTGGGAGAGAGAGAAGAAAAGAGAGCTGGGAGAAGAAACGAAAGAGAGAGGGGAGGAGAGAGAAATTTTTTATATTATAAAAAATATTTTAAAAATGTGGGACTCACTATTAAATATTTTATAATAAAAATATTAAAAAAATCAAATGTGAAACCCACATAACTGAAAATTAACATCTAAGACATAAAAGATCAAATTTTTAAAATTAAGGGATAAGAATGACTCATAATTGAGTTTAGGATCATTTGTAAATTTTTTGCACACTTCAAAAATATTTTTAGTACTTAACTCTGCTTCATAGACTTGTGAGTCAAAACTAGACTCACCACTCAAACGGCGAGATTTTTGGACACTTTAAAAATAGGTACTGTCCACTTTTGTACATGAATCCATGTGGCTTGGACATGACTACACTGAAGACATTTCCTGGGAGCACCGAAACCTACAAAGGTTGAGGTGGAACATTATGTTAGTCGTGGTAAAAGGCGTTCCTTTGAATCATTACAGCCATTCTCTCAAATGAAGATATAATAAATCTAGATGAGGTTTCATTAATTAAGAGCAAGAGAAAGTTTTTCTCATTCTTAACAAATCACCCAAATTTGCAATTTCAGCTTAAGAGGATCTATTCTAATCACAGCCCTCATTATCGTAAACTACTAACTTTAGCAAATGATTAGCCCACAAAAGTAGAAAATAACATGAAAGTTTGAGTGCATTACCTTCAGTATTTTAACAGAATGATGTTTTGATCTACAAGTTCGCAGAGTTCGCTCGGCTGTGTACAGCAACATCGGGATAGAGATATACATCCAAGTCTGGAAGCATCCAAAGTATTCTCAGTTCTATTTAAGACACTTTTATAAGCAAGATGTACTTTACGGCTTCATGTAGAGCACGAATCAAGTTCTTACCGATTTTTGATACCACTTGTGGGTTAAGTACAAGCAACTTCCATGGATGAACAACAAGACATAGACGAGGGCAAGAAGGTGGTGTGAATACCAGAATGCATTAAAGCCGGTCAATTTGTTGAATGGTGGGGATAGCTTGACCACGTTTCTTCGAAAATAGTGGGTTGCTAGGGTGAAAGAGATGACCATTAAAACAGTCATTGAAATTCCTGTGATGCCTTCGACCCCGGTCAAGAGTGTTTTATAAGTGGGCCTTTTGTTATGAAAATCTGAAGATATGGGAGCAAATTTCTCCGGGGATGAGTTTATGAGGAAGGGAAAATCGCAAGCCAAATGATTACCCGCATGAACGGCGACTCCAATAGCTATGGCACACGCATTCATCTGTAAAACAAGAGGATAACAGAGCACGTCAAGGCCAAGTAACGGCAATAGTAGCCAGAAACTTGAAAAGCTACTCGGAAGTCATACCTTATGGAAGTTAATGTTGTCATCGAAGGGAACAAAAGATCTGGCCCTCGTGGAACGAAGCCAAGTCAAAGTGTTACGACAAACTGGTAAGAGGATGAGAGCCATATTAAACTTAAGGGTCTCTGCAGCACCTTTGGCAATGGATAAGCAGTAACCAGTGACTTGAAAAGCTGCTCTGTTTCTATACTGATAAAATTTCCAGGTAAAAAGACAAGCAATGGAGGCCAACCATAGCAACAAGATCCAGCCCCTCCGCCAATGCTCTATTACCAGACATACCAGTGTCCTGCACATCCTTTGGATCACATTTTTGTGCTTCAACCCACTCAGATTCTGACCCCATCCTACCATACTTGGATTGCTCAATTGTCTGCTACATTTCATATAGCTATCTTTTCGTAGGAGCAACATTTCTAACTGCCACAGCTGCACAACAAAGAGCGAAATTCATGATCAAAATTATACCAAATTTTACCTCAAGATACTATCTGATTGGTCTCATTTTTTTGTCTTTTTCCCTATCTTACCTCAATGTAACCCAGGTTTTCTGGGTCTAGCTCTTCCATTATTAAAGCTGCGTATTCTTCAGCTTGTTCTTTTAGTTTCGATAGCTTATTTGCTGAAGCGCTGAGCATTATAAGCTGCCAATTAAAATTGAAAATGGACAGTCTGAGTCAAAGTGCATAAGATATTACACTATGACGTTGACCAGAGAAAAGACCATGACGTTAATTAGCTTACGAGGTGCATGTACATTGACATTTCTTTTCGAACAAATCAAACGTTGGTTCATTATGCCCTTGCCGATTAGTAGTTAGTACTACATTTTCTATAATGTATGTAATATACCTCCTGTATAACTTTTCAAATAAAATATTTTACCTTTACAAGTTAATTTTAAATGAAACAGTTTTATAAGAACAGAAACATTTTATTTTAAGTAATGTGTTGTATAATAACTTTTTTCAAAAAATAAATTCCCAAACCTTGGCCAGACTGCTTCTGTTTTCGACGCATATGAAATATTTCTCGATGAACATGCATGAGCATTTCTTCTGTACAGTACAGAATGTTAACTATGTGTTTCACACATTAGTCCATGATTATTTAATTGAGTTTAGTAGACTGACTTCCAGTCTGTCTATTTATTAAGCAAAGAATCAATCAACAATAACAAATAAATACATTGTACTGAAACTCGAAATATACTGGGAGAATTTCACTAAAGACTCTTAGATCATACTTATTTAAATTTAAAACCCTTAAATTTTTGAAATGTTACTGCAGTTAAGAAATACTAATTCGATATTAAATTTATGAGAGAAATGATAAAATTATCTCTCATTTAAATTAATATCAAAATTTTCTTACTTCACATATTTATTGTCCTACTTCACTTATTGTTCATGGCCCTACTTAACTTTTTTCATTTTAACTATTTAAATCATCTTAAAACAATTAGTTGATTAATTCATATATTGTATGTTGTTTATTTATTTATGGATTATTGTTCATTGTCCTATTTTACTTGTTCATTACTAGACTTTCACTTGATTTCATTCAAAAAAAAAATGAACAAGTGAAATAGGATAATTAACAATATTTTATAAGTAAATAAAAAAATAAAGTATGAGAACGAACAAATGAAGTATGCCAGTTTTAATATTAATTAAAAAGAGGGGCAATTTTATTATTTTTTTTAGAAATTTAATACCAAATCAGTACCCTTGAACTATAATAAAATTTCAAAAATTTAAGAATCTGGAATTTAAATAAGTATGGCCCAAGGCTCTTTATTAAAATTCTCCCAAATATATTCAAATTTTTTTAATTCATAGCCAATGTGGAATAATTAATTAGCGCGATGTCAATGTAAAGGGAAAACTTAGAAGAAACATATCAAGTATTATGAAAGTTGTTGACTTATTTTTTAGATAAAACTTCGGCATAAACAATTTAACATTTACAATTGTGCCGAGAAATGGATGCTTATCAAATGTTTCAATGTAATTGTTTTCCATATATATATATATATATATATCACATACGTTTTGTTTTAAAAAAAAAAAATCTTATCATTACAATTTCAAATCATACCTCTTGCACCTCCTCCCTAGTAATCTTTCCATCTCCATTGCTGTCAGCCCTGAAATAAATAAATTATTAAAGTTACTTAAAAAGTGAATATAAAAAAATATCCTCCTCTCTTTGACACAGATCAACTAGGGGTTCTCTACATTTTTTTTCCTCCATTTCCCTCCACTTCTCCTATCTCCACCATTCAAATTATTTTATTAAATAATTTTTTTAAATGATAAAATTAATGAATGGTGTGGATGGGGGAAGTGGAGGAAAATGGAGGAAAAAAAAAGTGAAGAGACCCTCTTTCCAGGATCAACTTAATCATAGCTGGCAGCAGATAGGATTAAAAAATAATAAAATATTAACATTAATTTCAACTGGTTGGAAGTTTTATTTGGGAATTAGATCCAAGTACAACGCAGCGATAATCATGCAGTGCATGGCATTGGGCTGTCTCAATTTTTTAAAATTCAAGTAATGGCTGAAAATTTTTAAATTTGAACTGGAAATATTTTCATATAATTGATATCAATCAATATAAAATACAAAATTTAAATCGCCAGACTATTCGTAAACACTAAATGGTAAAAAAGCTTAATTCAACTATACTTTATTTGTTCAATCTTTATATGTCCACATATTTCTTTAGGCCTCACAACTTTCATTAGATTTTTTATGTCATGTAAAAAAAAATTATTTTGGTCTAAGCTGATAATGCAAAAAAAAAAAAAAATCGTTTAAAGATTTCTATATAACAAAAATCCTGAAGGTTATACTGCGTGTGCTACTTAATTATGCACAAAGCGATACATATTCTATCTCAATGCTTAAGTAGAATAAAACAAAAATGGCGAAATCAGGTGGGAATTAAAGACTCCAGATTTAAAATGTGGGTCGTTACCCAAGCGACACGAATTTCCCATGAAAGAACCAACTTACATGTTGAAGAAAATCTGAAGACGAGCGTCAAAGCTCTGGTCCGTAATCTGCAACCAGAAGTCGTAGAGCTCTTCTTTGCTAATTTTCGTCACTTTCTGCTGCTTTCTTCTCGCCAGTGCATCAAATACTCCTACGGCAAATTCCTTGGAATCCTGCATTCCTTTTACAAAATTTCAAACCAATCGAATCAATTCCCTACTTGGTCCAAGGTAACTTTCCTGGCGTCCAAACAAAATTGCAAGTTGCAATATATGATATGCATACCAATGCATTCACCGAAGTCTTCTCTCGCAAGCAAACCGTCCTTAGCAAGTAACGCAAACCTCTCCTCCACTTTTCTCCATAGCTCACTGGCGTCGGTGGCTCCGGCCGTCTCGCTGATGAATCTGAGCCCCTCAAGGGCTGTCCGCGCACTCGATCTCGTCCGTTCAAGCTTGGCTTTCATTTTCCTAGCGTTACGGGCGGTGATGGCAGGATCTTCCACGACGGAAACCGAAGATGGCGATCTCGACCAGGATAAAATCCTTCGAAAACTAGACGCAGCGGAGGGGAGTTCATCAGCGGCACGGGCGGGATTGACATTGCAGAGCACAGGGGAGTGATCTTCTAGCTCTAACGTGACTTCCACAAATTCTTTCCAGCGGTGTCCGCTGTGGGCAGGCGGAGGTTGGTCATCTCCTGGTGGGACGAGATCCGGCGGTGACTCGAATTCGCGAGAGGGATTAGCTTTGTTGGAGCTGCAGCTTCCAAACGACGACGTTCTCATGGAATTGGCCTCTGTATAGTTTGTGATAAGGGAGAGAGGTTTATGTTTGGATGAAATTAAGAATAGGTTTCAATGTGGGGGGGAAAAGAGGAGTGGGTGTGAAATATAAAGAGGAGGAAGTGGAAAACAACACAAACGCCTCCCAACCAATTCAACCAGTTCAGTGGGTAGGAATGGGCATGAATTTCTATTTCTCACATATTCTTCAATTTACGTGCGTCTAAATCCAATTCAAGTAGCTAGCTAGGTGTGGAATTTAATTACCATTTACTTTTGCATTATTAGCAAAATAAAGAGTAAACCTTAAACTCTTCGCGCCTGTCAGGTATATTATACAATTAAGTTGCCGTTTAAAATTGTGTACTAATAAAAAAATTGAATTCTCACATGCAGTTGAGGGGTTGCACCTAGTTCATTCAAATTGTGAAAGCATGATCGGAATAAACAGTCAAAAATAAAAAAGAGAATATATTTGCCTCACATGTCATGATGGAGTTAACATAACACTAACATCCCTAAATCCATTGAAATTTGAAAGTCCTATCAGATAAGCATTTATTTTGTGGCACCTAAAGCGAGCCATTTAGGCTTGCAATTTTTTTTTTTTTTTTTACCCTTGTAAGTTCAGCGCAGAATTTATTTGGGACAGTGAAAAATAGTCGTACGAGTACTACTCTCAGGGTTAAAATTCGGACAATGAATGGAAGGATCACACACCTTTCTCATTGCCAAACCAACCCTTTCATTTATTTTTATTTTTCTCAATACTTATTTCACCCAATCTTAGCATCAAGAGGGTTAATTTTGTGTGTGTGTGTCTCCACCTTATTACACACGCACACGTGTGTTTTATCATGTTAAAAGCGATGCCATCAAATTTTTTTAATAAAAAGATTAATTAAGGACGACAAGGCTTATATATTTATTCTTATATGCTTAACATATTTTCATCCAATCAAATCAAGACATGTGAATTTTAATATATTAATAATATTAATAACAATAATTTATTGTAAAATAAATAATTTATCATAGATACATATGTATTAATTTAATTGAAAACAAGCACCTTAAATATATAAAGTTAAGTATATAAGTTTTTTTTAAAGATTAATTAAATAAAATGAAGGTAGCTTATATAACATAAGTTTGAGGAAGGGGAAAGAAAATAAGATTTGTCTTGGGAAACATTAAAGTAAACAATACCAAAATTCTCAAATAGTAAATTAATGTCATTCACCGAAGGCTAAATAGAATGTTTCTACAAGAGACAGTTATAAAACTTCTTTTTGTAACAAACCAAAGAAAAACCACAACAATCAATGAATCTTTAATATGTCTTATATAAGAAAGCAATACATCAAACATTACTTCCTCTTTTAACCTTGATCATCTTGGCATTCCAATTCTAAAGTAGAGGTAGAGCTAGACAATGATTCCAAGCACAACTAGAGGAGGGTTAAAAACACATGATAAACTACTTCTATCACTTGCATCATACTAATGACATGCATCAAAACGATGGTGACATTGACTATGAAATTCAAGCAATACTTGACTCGGTTGATATACAGTTCCATTATAAAATGCAAAATTTCTCTTTTGCCAAATCAAATCGAGGAGTATAATAATACCTCTCAAGTGAAGATTAAGCCCATCCTTGTGTGAGACAATATAGAAACAATCCAATTAGACAATTCAACAACCTCAACATTTGAGAAGTGAATAGACAAAGCACCAAACTATATAAGTCTAGTATAATTATAATTATCGAACAGATATGTCCGTGATTCAAAATTTGGACATCCAAAGACACATTGAAATTGTACATTCAAATGATACTTTTGAAGGATGTCTTCAATTGGAATTGTTGAATGGATCAACTTTAATACAAACAAGAGTTGCTTGTGTGACAACTTAATTTTCCATGCCTCTCAACTGAAGATCAAGCCCATCCTTGTTACCATGCCATCAAAATCGATAGTGAGTTAATGTATATTGAAGACTATATATATATATATATATATATAACTTACAAGGAATTAGTTTAAAACATATAACAGTTTTCAATATTCAGATTCACTATTATCAAAAAAGTTTATTTTATTGTATAATCAAACACCTTCTGTTAGAACAGATATTCTTCCAAGAGGGTGTGTGTGGGTGTGTGGATGTTTTAGATTGACTTAAAATAGAAGAATCAAATTCTTAATTCCCAAAATGAGATTGACGGTTGAATTTTCAAGTTTGTATAATAAGTAGATTAAAATGCGCCCTTTAAATGTCCATCCAATTATTATTATTGGGAAAAACAATTAAAAGAGCAATTGTAAAATGTGACAAAATATGTGAGTAGTTTAGTTAATTTTAAAATTCTATGATGGAAATGAATGCATATGAATCAATCTTTGTCTGTATCGACGTTGAACAGGTCCATGCGTAACGTTAGGTGAATAAGACATATCTAAATTGACTGGTTAAGCTAAATTAGGAGGAGTTAGCTGCACCACATTATTTTTTTTGTTTTCAAATATTTTAATTAAAAGATTTAAGAGCATATCTGAAGAGGCACAAGCATGCCCAGTAAATTAAAACTATGCTCTTTCTGGTGGCGTTAATGAATAATGATCTTGTAACTAACGTATGTGAAATTCAAGCATTCCATATTAATCATGAAGCATGGATACTTAACACTCAATCGTTATCGTTTTGATTTTGATGTTGCTTACTTTTATTGACTTCTTCCATTACAGTAATACATAGTGACGTAGTTATGATAAAGATAATTTTTCTTGAATCCATAGATCAAGATTTTCTTTTAAAAAAAATAAAAGAATAGAAAAAAAAATTGATAAACAAAGGTGAAGTCAAGACCGAGATGGCAGCTAGCTTGTAGGAAAGAAAGTTCAACAAGAAGAAACAATTCATACACAGAAAGTCAGAAAAGTTTACGCCTGTTTATTATAATATTTGAACAATTTTTATAAACAACCAGGCTAATATTATTTTCAACATATTTAATTGACTTTTTTCAAGTTTAATGTCTAGTTATTATAAGTTTGTAAGGTATACTCTTACTTTTTGTTGCGTTGCTTATTACATGGAAATGTTACTTATTATTTGATAATTGAGATAAAATAATGCAGAATATATTCAGAAAGCACTGTGAATATTAAAAAAAAAAAAAGGCTTATTTCCTTATATTAACCAACACAAATTCTCTATTCAACGACGAAAATCTACAACTTTCGGTCTATTTCAAGTATGCTCATCTATTCATGTTACGTGCAAATGATGGGTTATTAATTTCTTAATCCATTAGGTAAATGCAAATGGATCAGTCATCGCCTACTTATGCTATTCGAACAAGCATATATTAAATTTAGATTATCCATATTTCTTAAAGAAATTGACTACGTTAATTTTGAGAAAATGACAAACACTCGTATAAATGTATATCGTATATACACATCCACACTTAACTCTTTTTTTTTTGGTGAATAACTTTTATGTTTCAGACCAAATTAAATTAAGTTAAAAATGAAGAAGAATTACTGGAAGTAAATTAAGAATGAAGCACAAAAAATAGTTAATTAATTAGTTTCAGCTTGCTTACTTTAATATTTTTGTGTATTATGAGCTTGTTGGTGAAAATACGGAGAAGGTTAATTGGCATTAGATGAGAGGAAATTAATTAATTAATTATATGGGAATTAATGAAATATTGTGAGTTGAAAGAAACATTTAGATTTATAATATGTACTTTTCTATTAGAAAATGTAAGATTTTTTTTTTTTTGAGAAGTTTGATATTAAAAAATGTAAAGTATTTTAATGTTTTAAAGTATAATTAATCTGTTTTTTTCTCTAAAACTGTCCATAATAAATAAATAATTTTATATTTCTTTTAAAGTGGAACACTTATTAATTAAGGGTAAATATAAAAAAATTGTATTAATTTAAAAATAATTAACTACTTTATTGAAAGATAAAATTTTATTAAAAATATTTTATATTTTTTAACAGAATAAATATTATAATTATGGTGCTTGTGTCCTCTCCCCAAAGGATGGAATTAATTATTAACGAACTAATCATCTCACACTTGATTACAATTACTATAAGTGTCACCTTAATCTCTTCTGTTCGTTCTAGTGCCAAGTATCACTTGATGTTGATGACAAGTGTATAACACCCCTCACCTGCCCCTTGTAAAATATATAACAGCATTATTTATTATGAATTGCAGGAATGGGGAGCAACTCTCCAAATGGGAAAAGAGAACAAACAGGCAATAGCATAAAAAAAAAAAGTCACAGTTTAACTTAAAATTTTAGAATTCAAAATGTATAACTTTTCTTTTTTATTGTATATTAATTATTAAACTCAACTTTATTTAATATAAAACTTTTTATATTATTTTAAATTTACTCACACTTGGACATCCTAATAATTCCATGCAACATACAAAGGTGATTCTTGTTTATAATTACAAATTGCAATTTATAGTTTGTTTAATTCTAATTGTGGAGTAAATTAAGCATAGGTATCTTAAATATATAGTTTCCAATTTTAAAACTGGTGTTGAAATTTTGTTAGTTTAAATATATAGACATTTGAAGTATTTCAGTGATGGTAGAGTAGGGCTGTGCCCACATTCACCTGAATGTATAGATATTTGTATAGATAATATTTGAATAAAAAAAATCAAAGGTGCGCTGTTATATATAGTATAAATGAAATAACAATTTATACTATCTAGCGCTGCAACCCCAGATAAGTGGTACTATTCATGAATGGCACAACGTTATTATAAAATTTATATTAAATAACTGATTATTTAAGAAAAATATATGATCAATACTGGCATATAATATAAATTTATATTAAATTTGGAGTAAATGGAGGCAAATGTGGAGTCCAACTCCAACGGCATGAGGACTAATAGTTAGTCATTGGGTTTGCTAGAGAAGGCCTCAGAAGAGTTTGGAGTTTCACATGTTGGGCTGTGGCCTTCGTTGGCCTCAACTTTCTTTTCATTTTTATTGAATAATTATTTTATCTTTCTTTTG